TAAACAGATGTCAGCCACAGGGCTTCCAGCCCCTATTGCCCATCTTCATAGAAGTCAGTTATAAGGTCTCCCTTAGTTAAGTGAATTTTTCAATAGTACACAGATTTATTAAGTCCTGGGTTAAAATTCTCTGAGTAAAAATAAAAAAATAATTACCCTTTAGAACATAATGTAATATTTAAATGACTTGAAAACAGTCACCTCAGCAAAAATAAGACAGGGGAGAGAGAAAGAAGTTTAAAAATGAAGTCGGAGCCCCGGCTGGGTGGTTCCGCTGGTTGGAGCGTTGTCTCACACACCAACAAGGTTGCTGGTTTGGTTCTCAGTTGGGGTGTGTACGAGAGGCAACAGATCGATGTTTCTCACATGGATGTTTCTCTCTTTCCTTCTCCCCCTTCCTCTCTCTCCTAAACAAACAAACAAAGCAAAACATACCCTTGGGTGAGGATTAAAAAAAATGAAGTTTGTAACTGTCCACAAAACCTCTATGAGTTCAAGTGCACAAACGCGTGATCTGGCACTTCTGATTCATAAACATGTAAAAATGGAAAACCTCCCATTCACAGTAAAACACACAAGTGGTTTCATTAATGAACTAGCAAGTTGTGTGTGTGTGTGTGTGTGTGGGGGGGTGTTGCTTCTTAATTTAATAAAACACCATAATTGTTAAGACAGAGAGAGGGTACTGAAGCCAGATGATGCTTGTTAAAATCCCAACTCTCCCACTTACTCACTCTGTGACCTTGGGCAAGGTGTATTTAACTTCTTGCCTCAGTTTCTTCATCTGTGAAGTGGGGATGTTAACAGTGCCTCCCTGTGGGCAGCTGTGATGCTTCCATGAGTTAGCACATGCAAGGAAGTTAGTGTCTCACTCATCATAAATGCTAGCTCCCCATCATCTGGTAGTTGTCACAGAATGTCACATTTACTGCAAATGAAAAGGGATCCGAATGGAAACTACGGCCTTTCCTCACCAACAGTGGCCTTTCTATGACTTTTCACTGTTCGGAGAACTCACTGGCTCCATCTTGTCCAGACTGGATTCACCCGGCCTCCCCACAGAGCCGGCGGTCCAGGTGAGTCACCAGTGACTTTTCTGTCGTTGGCCCAATCCATCGGGCGGTTTTCGATCCTTGTCTCCCTTGTCCCCTTGGAAAGTCTGAGCACCAATGAGCTTGACACGCTCTTTCCATGGGCTGCAGGACTTTGCACTGTTACAGTTTTCCCTCGGTGTCCCCAACCACTCCCTCTCGCCTCCCCTGGCCACTGGATCTTCCTTCTCCTGGCCTTTCAATGTTGGAATTTAGACTCTCATTGTTCTTCAGCCTCTAGTGTCTCCCCAGGCAAATTCACCCATGTCTGTGGTTTTATTGCCAACATGCTAATTAACCCAAAAATGTTGGTCTACAGCTCAGACCTCTGTTCTGAGCTCCAGACCCATGTATGTTCATTTACATCCTCCATGTTACTGAAATGTCTCAAAAGGTACTTTAAACTCAACATAGCTAAAAATAATTTATGATTTCCTCTCTGCCTCAAAGCCAGCATCTCCCTCACTGCTCCCTTGTCTGTGAGTGCCCCACAAAGCATCTCCCCCCTGGACATTGGCAACACCCTCCACTCCTTTTCTTCTTCCCTTTTGCCCTCAATCCATTCTCCGAAGCAGCTGGTGGTGCATTTACATTGCCAATGTGACCACACTGCTCCCGTCTGAATCCTTCACTGGCTCCCTGTGCTTATGGGAACTTGAACATGGCCGAGAAGGAATCCTAAATTCCAGACACCGGGGCCACAGTGCAGGAGCGATACTGATGCACAGCACATCTGGCTTCTCTGACTGACCTTTATTCGCTTGCACTCCAGCCACTCTGGCCTTCCCTGGCCTTTCTGCGTCTCTGCAAGCCACGCTCTTGCATGTCCCCTGCTTGGAACCCTCACCATTGCATCCCGGAGGCTGATTTCCTATTCATCCTCCAACTATCAGTTCAAAGGGTGCTTCCTCGGGGAAGCTGTTCTTGACCCAAAACTAGGTCACGTGCCCTATGATAAGGAGGCTGTCATAAAACCGTGCTTATCACAATTGACATTCTACATTTATTTGTAAATGTGCCCTATGATAAGGAGGCTGTCATAAAACTGTAAGTGTTTATCACAATTGACATTCTACATTTATTTGTAAAATGAAAACTTAGCTATATTTTCTGTAGAGCTGAAGAGGGGGCATGTCTGTTTGGCCCCCCATCGTTCCCCCAGTACCTCCCACGTGAAAAGGGCATACTCACACATGTTAAATGAATATCCCAGTTTCCATCATTTTAAGGCATTTGTTGATGCCCCTGCTCTTACTCCACAACAAAAGGGAACCTTCACTTAAACATGATGGCCGTAACAAGTAACTTCGGTGACCCTGGACCACAAGGAGAGAGAACTCACCAGGACAACTGGGCTCCACAAAGACCAGCCATGGGAACCCAGCATTGAAAGGGCCAGGGCAGCGTTTCCATGATTTACGGCCAAAAGAATGTGTGTGAGCTGCCAAAATGATACTCACCCTTCTCTTTTGGAGGGTTCTTTCACTCACTCACTCACTCACTCACTCATTAATTTATCCACACAACAAAATCGTGAATTCTAAATTCCAGACACGGGGACCACAGTGCAGGGGCAATACTGATGCACATCAAATACAGATACACATACAGGAGGCTGCAGCTGAGAGAGCCTGTGCTTGTTTGCAGGAGAGAACATGCTTACGGTAAGAGGGGAAGGTGATCCTGGAGAGTGAATGGTGTGCGTGGGGCAGGGGACAGCCAGAAAACAGTCCAGGCAAAATGAGAACACTGACAGGGTCTTCGAGGAGCTGCCTAAATACCAACTACTACCTAAATACCAAATACCAATACCTCAGGCTGACAGGCAAGGAGAGAGGCAAAGTCGCCCTGTGCAGCACTGTTTCCTCCAGCTCTGCAGCTCCTCTCATCCCGGCCACTCCACATGGGCTCTAGGAAGAGGGGAGCTTACAGAGAGCTCGCTGTCTGCTAATGAAGGCACCGCCTCCACTCCCCTAAACCTTGCATATGCATAATAATCCATGATCTCCTTGGTCCAGGCCTTCCCTTTTACCCACACCCGATTCGAGGTGGGCTGTGGCAGTGGTAGATGCACTAGGGGTCAGTGTCCTGGGAACGCAGCAGTGGGGTAAAGGGGACTAAGGCTCTTCTCAGCTCTCTTAAGGAAAAAAAATTATGCTTTAAACTCTTGGCTGCAGCATTCAGTTTATTCTAGGTACACTTTACATTATTTACACTATATCCTTTTTTAAAAATATATTTCTTTATTGATTTCAGAGAGGAAGGGGGAAGGTGAGAAAGACAGAAGCATCAATGATGAGAAAGAATCATTGATCAGCTGCCTCCTGCACACCCCCTACTGGGGATGGAGCCCGCAACCCAGGCATGTGCCCTGGGCTGGAATTGAACTTGGGACCCTTCAGTCTGCAGGCTGACGCTCTATCCACTGAGCCAAGCCGGCCAGAGCTACACTATATCCTTTTGGTCTGTGAATTACTCAAGCTCCTACTCAAACTTCAAGCTCTGCTTGGAGTATGAAGAAGGGTCACATGACAGATTTCTTCTATATCCTCAGAGAAGATAGGAAAGGGTAGGGGGGTAGTGTTTTAAAGAGCAGCACCCAAGAGGGCCCGGTGTGTTCTGGTATTGTTATTCCACAGATGTTAACACCATAACCAATCAAAGGAAGATGGCCTAAACATTGAATATTTGGACTCAAAGAGAAAAGTATGTTGAAAGAGAAAAACAGGAAAAGTATATCAGCATTTTACACTATCTGTTCTTTAATCTGAAGCAAAACTCCAGGACAGAGAAAACATAGATATAAAATAAAATCTGTATTTTTTTAACATATCCTTAAATGCCAGAAAAGAAGTTACCCACTTTGAAAATGTTTTCTGTATAAATCTCTACCAGAAAAACAAGTCAGTATTAATTCAATAAATCGAACTTTAATTCATTATTTTGGTCAACTTGAGTTCCAAGATTTGCTTGTGACATAATGCTTTCCAGGAAGAAAAAAAATATCCTGTCCCAGAAAACAATCTGATGGTTAATGTAAAGTTTTAACCAAATAATCATGTTACTGTAATTCACTAGAAATTCAAGAAAAAGTGTGTAGGGTGTCCACAATTTAGAAACATATTAAAATGAAGTTTTTTTTTCTTCCTTTATAAAGAAAGAACTTCCACACCATCTGTTCTACGTTATCTTGGTGTTCTGCCGAATGCAGTGTCAGCTTGCTGAGAACTGTAAATTATTAGGTTACACCCCTAAAAATATGAGTGAAGAGAAAAATGGATGAAGAGGACACTGACTATAAGTTTGGACACGCAGGAAAACACTAATATGGGACAACAGCCCAGCCCAAGTGCCTCTGGGTAGGAAATGGTTCCTGGAGGGCATCCACTCCATATGACCATGACGAAAGGACAGGTTTACAAAAGTAGCACGCAAAGTAGTAACATGCAAAGCAATACCGAAGCGCATTTCCAGACTCCGAGACGCCTCTTCGTCAGAGTGCTTCTGATTCCAGTTAAATTTCGGGGGAAAACAACAAGGCAACCCCGCCTGACTTAACGTACAGACCATTACAGCTGCTTCTGAATGCCTCCTAACAAACGGGGCCTCCAAATGCGAGCACAGCCACATATTCCACCTCAACTCTGTTCTCCTGTCTCCCAGCTAGTCCTGTGAGTACAGTGCCCGCTCAGCCCCGGCAAAGGCACCCAACTGAGGAGCAGCTCCCAGATCTCGGAAAGAAGTGCGGTTTCATCAAGAGGCATTTAGGCAACTTGAGTGATTCCCCGCAGAAAAGGTAAAGTGCCAGACACGAAACGACCAGCTCCCTCTGACGACGCAGCCACATGACTGCTTTCTATCTGGAAACTGTCCGGCCAGCTGGTAAGATTTGTAAAGGAAGATCCTTACCCGGATTATTTCTTCCACACAGCTGTTGGTTTCTCCAGATCGACTCTCCTGGAACCAAAGGAAAAAACACACAAATTAATAAGCCTGATAGACTAGATTTATGGTTACAAAGAAAAGATGACACGTTAGCTCCTACATTTAATAGTTTGGACTCAGGGAAATGCCTAAACTGGGACCTTCCCATAAGCTCCTTTCCTTAGCGGGACAGCTCCCATCACAGCTATGGCTGCTCTCCCTCCCCGACTGTGCACTGCGCGGGACAGCTCCGCCGGGAACAGGGCACACGCGGGAGGTCAGGCTGGGCCCTCAGCCACAAGGACACCGAAGGGCAGGCTCCTCGGAGTAACAGCACACAGCCTGCAGGGCTGAGCTCTTTGCCTTGGGCTCATCCAAATGTAGAAACATGGCATCTACTGCAAAGCGGATCCAGTTCACCTCCACATACAGACAGTGGCCCTGCCAAATACAAGGCTGCTGCAGCTTAAGTAAAAGTGTGGCAGTTCCTCTGTCCTCCAAGCCTAGAGTTACTAGTTTGATGGGCCGAAACCCAAAAGACCAAAGGAGACACATCTTCTCAACATTCGCACGGCATTCTGGGTGTCATGTTCCAGAGCCACTTGCTCCAGGACCCGCACTGCCCTGTGTCATGGAGATGTTAAGGGCTCTGGGAATGGCAGCTTCCAGTCACAGCTGACTGCGGAGCATTTTAAGCTCCAGAGATGCTGTGTGGTGACTACTGGTGACACGGCCTGGAATGCAGCAGGTGGCTGTGTGGGGACATGAGAGCAGCAGCAGACACAGCAGGTATAAGTGGTACTGTGGTTTCAGGGAGAGAGTTCTCTTGCCTTTTCATTCAATGATACTGACCACAACTCAGCATGACATCCTAAGCTCTCCTCACCCTGAATGGAGACCCATATGCCCAGTGACCAGGAACTCCCCATTCCTTCCTCTCCCCAGCCTCAGGGAACCACTACTTTACTTCCTGTCACTATGAACTTATAAATTCTGGGCATTTCACATAAATGCAATCCTAAAATATGTGGACGAGCCATTGTTTCTTAGGATTATGCTTTCAAGGCGCATCCATGTTGTGCCATGTATCAGTACTTCACTCCTTTTTGTGGCTGAATCGTACCCCACTGTATGGATAGACCACATTTTGTTCATCCATTCACCAGCTCATGGACATTGCTGTTTCCACTTTGGCTATTGTGATAGCACTTCTTTGAACTTTTGTGTACAGTTTTTGCTTGGGTGTGTAACTAGCAGTTGACTTGGTGGGCCATACGGCAGTCCTATGCTTAGCTTTTTGAGGAACTGTCAAACCGCCTTCCCCAGGGGCTGTCCCATTTCACATTCCCACCACAGGTTCTGATTTCTCCATGTCCTCATCAACACTTGCTATTTTCCAGTTTTGTTCTTGGTAGTAGCTAACCTCGTGGGTATGAAATGGTATCACGCTGAGGTTTCGATCTGCTTTTCCTAATGATTAATGATGTTGACCATCTCTTCATGTACATGTTGGCCATTTGCATCTTCTCTGGAAAAATGTCCCTTTCAAATTTTTTAATTGGATTGTCTTTTACTTGTTTTAAGAGTTCTTGATATATTCTGGATATTAGACCCTTTATCAGCTATATGATTTGTATATATTTTCTTCCATTCTGTGGCTGTACTTTCTTGATAGTGTTCATCCATGTACAAAATTTTTAACTTTGATGAAGTCCAATTTATCTGGTTTTTTCTTTATTGTTTTATTTTGGGTGTCATATTTAAGAAAATATGGCTAAATCCAAGGTTATTCAGGTTTACCCATTTTCTTTGAAGAGTTTTATAGTTTTAGTTTTTATACTTAACCCAATAGTTTGAGAACTTTAGGTAAAATTTATTTCCTTATAGACATTTGATAAGTTTTAGTTAAAACAGAAACATTATCTTTGTATAGATTATTCCATTTTAGTCTCCTTATTAAAAGATCAATAACAAAATGTGTAAGGCACAGCCATTGTTGCTAATGGTGCATGAACACTACATGTCTATCCTTATAAATCAAGAAAAACTATGTTAAATATCATGACAGAATTAGCAATAATACTTCATTACCCTCTCCTACACTCACCCTTTCTTCTGTTCTTCTAAAGGTTACAGTTTGGTGACATACATCTATGAGTCCCCACTCCACCCCCAAGACTTATTCCAGGACTTATCTGGAAATGTTACTATTCTGACACTCTGATCACATTGGCTCAGAGAGCTCTTTTTGGAACCTGCCCCAAACCTGCTTCCTTTCCAAGGCAGCCTGAGGAAACCATCACAAATGCTGCTGGTAAATTCTCACTCAGGCAAGGCTTGATGGCCCTTTGAAACGACATTTGGAATTTAGTGGTGGGAATGAAGGTCTCAATTAAAAACTGTTTCTTCAAACCCATAACCACTTCTCTTACTCTACTTCCAAATCTCAACCCTTTCCTACCATGTAACATACGGGTAGAGCAAATGCTAAATTCTCACTGTACTATTCTCCACCCTAAAACAATTAATCAAGGAAAACTTGATTTCATGTTCTCCTGGCGGACTCACCCAGACACACAATACACTGAAAAGACTCATCAAATTAAACTCTGGGTTTGATCACTTCAAGCTAAGCTTCTTCTGAAAGTAGATTTATATACATGACAGATTGCTCTTATACGTAGCTCTCCCTATAGTCTTATAAGTTTCCATGACCCTACTCTGAAAAGGGAGGGAAATGCAGTATAGATGCCCCAGAGATAGGGTATGTAGGATTAATACATTGCGTCATCTCAGTGAGCTCCAACCGTGAGCTCTGATAGTCTAGAATGACATCCAGTCTTCTGTACTAAAAGGGCCCCTTGCGAAGTTGAGGAAGTGAGACCAGACCCAAGGACTTCAAAGAACAGTCTCAGGCCATCCTGGTCTTACATTCCAGTGTGGAAAGTCCTCAGCAGGGGAAACTCTTGGGCCTTCTCTGAAGCATTTCTGACTCCTGGGACACCTCGTGTTACAACGGGGGAACCTAAGACGGGTAGTACATTGGGTTTGAATCTCTAGGACCCTGTCTGGAATGGAGTGAATGCATGAGGCATGGTATTAAAGAAAGTTTCAATTAAAAGGAAACCTAGAACTCATTTTAGGCCACTCAGTGACTTTAGCAGATGGAGAAACTGTGGCCCAGAGAAGTGGAGGACTTTGTTTAAAATCATTCTGATAGCAAGGGGCAGGCAAGGTAGAATCCACACACATTTCTTCAACGCCAGTTCAACCCTTAGAACTGCCTCAACTTGAGGTCACTGTCATGTTTAAAGTATGAAACTAAAAGGACCTGTACAGTGTTGGGGTAAATTTCCTCCCTTTCCATGCTGCAAATTCTCCAACACTTGGTCACTCTGTTTCTTCCTCACTAACTTCTGACATCACATGCATAGGCCAAAGCAGGAAGTGACAGGAGAAGTGGAGAGAAACGGTTAAAACTACTATCCCTTCTCTGACATTAACAAATGAGAGACAGGACTTGTGTGCTCTGAAACTGGAGGACAGAATTCGGCCTCTTCTCTCCCAAATACACAAAAGGGGGTTGGTGGGGAGGGCTGTGTTGGCAGGGCGTAGAGGTGAGGGGAGGCCAGAGGGCCTTTCACCTACTTGAGATCTTTCTCAAATCTGGTTTCAGTTGCAGTTGTGTACTCTGATTATAATTGCATTTAAAAACTTCCAGTGTTTATAAACAAGATTCAAGCATGCATGTAATTTACATCTCCGAATCTGAGTTTGTTTTTTTCACAGTGAAGTTACTGCTTTCCTTGGAAAGGTACCCACTGAGAAAGAGGGCTGCACAATGCAAATTTTAATTACTCTGGAGTTTTTGAGGGTTTGTAGCTGTTGCTTCCT